GAGAGGGAAACGAAAAAAATCTGAGAACAGAGAACACTGAACAGAGGCCCGCCTTAGCAGTGGGCACCTTGAACGAGTTTGTTGGAGTTGGCAAGCCAATCAGCAGCATTCGACGTGCAACCGATTTCTGGCAATAGCAGGGAAATTACCGTACGACACTCCAGACAACGCTATGTGCACACGCTTCCGCTTGTAAGCTGTTGTCATGCAGAGTAAATATAACTATGGTTGCAACAATCACCTGTATCTACCTTTTTTATCTTGCTGTTTTGAGTGAGGAAAGTGGTATATTCTCTGCTGATGGAAAAAACGATGCCAAATGCACGGAGGCATTTGGCGGACCACTTGGCCACGGGAACTGTCTCTAGGCGATTTCAAACACCTCTTTTCTTCAAAAATTCTCCCGTTCTGACACCGTTGGTAAATTACAGTGTCACCTACGAGTTTTCTTGCTTTGAACAGCCATGGCTTGCTTCATATTGACCTTTGGCAAAATAGAGAAAGCGTTGTGATCTGGAAGATCTCCTTTTTCTGAAGAGCACCTCACTCTCTTCCCAGGCCTGCTACTCAAAAATTCTCCGTTGTTTCTTGAGTAACATTTTCGGGCGACACAAAACCCAACCATTTCCTTCCTTCCGCGCATTACCGTCTCTAGCTTGTTCGAAAACTTTGGTACGCTTCTAAAACCAACTTTTCATCACAGTTACAAGGAAATCGGCTGGCTTCACCTCTGTATTGCGCCATACATCCGACATCCACAAAAGCAAAAGTGATTAATAATGCCGTCGTTGTCGGTATTTCTTGTTACTTCCCGTTCCTTACTTCTGAGCTTGCGGACTATCTCTGTCTTCAGGTGTCTCTTCAGCTATTTTTTTTCAGGTGTTCCTCACGACTAAAACCCACCAAGAAATTTTTTATTTGTGAATGGCTCTAGAAACACGCGAACAAACGGCTGCTCTTCCCAATTTTGGTTAGACCCGCGCTTACGACCCCCCCCCCGTTGAGGTCAATTCTCCTCCCGTCCTGACTTGCACAACGATGGCGTGCCCTGGCAAAGGTACTTCGCCATAATAGCTGCTGCTACATCCAGTTCATAGCTCGGTGCTGAACGGGGTGTCCTTGGAGCAGGTTGGGTGCAGTATTGACGAACAGTTGACAACTCATGTGGGGATGTAGAAGGAAGGTGGACGGCGTGAGAAAGCCCCGGTACACCTCTCACCCTTCTGGGTAAGTGTCTATAGTCTTATTCGCTACGGATGATGGGGCGTATCAGAGGGAGAGGGGGGAGGACCGGCTCATCGGATGGCAGTAAGAATGTATCACACCGTTCGTATCAGTCGTTTCAACCAATCGCTGTTGCTAACCTGCTT